GGCTGGACGCGGTGCTGTGCAGCCTGCTCTGGGTGACACTGCTTGGGCAGGGGGCTGGGCTGGGTGCACCACAGAGGTCCCTTCCGACCCCAAACATTCTGTGATTCTGTGGGGCCTTGGGTTTCACCTGCACCAGCCTGACTGTCCCCCCTTCTCCTTGCAGACAGCATGGGTACCTCCACCTACCGCCCGCCGGCCCGTACGATGGAAGTGGTCATAAACAAGTACGTGGTGAAGCTCAAGTACTGCTACACCTGCAAGATGTTCCGCCCTCCGCGCACCTCGCACTGCAGCGTCTGCGACAACTGCGTCGGTAAGCCCGGGAGGTGGAAGGGTGCTGCTGTCTGTTTTGTGTCTGCGTGTTGGGCGTGTTTTCTGGTCCTGGACAGATTGCTTTTGCTTCTTGTGAAGGATTATAAAGCAAGACACTGCCTGGTCCGTCTTCTTCCCGTTTAAAATGGAAGCAACACCAGTGCAGTGGCTGGGGGTGAGGGGGCAGCAGGTCCAGGGCTCCGTGTCGCTGCTTCTCCTGATTTTGGGAGGACGGTACCATGAAACGCGGTTCAGGCCCCCACCAAACACGGGGTGTGCTGCAGGCTCCTTGTCTGTGGCCTTGCTGTCGCCGGGCTGGTGGAGACAGCACCGTAGATACTGGCTGAGCTCTTGTGTGTCCTCTCCCCTGTCCTCAGAGCGTGGTGGGGCAGGAGGGAATGAACAAAGACCTGAAGAAAAGCCTCTGATGGCTCCACGCAGGTGTGGGGCAGCTGCAGGGGGTGGGCAGGGAGGTTCCCAGCGCAGCCTGGCTGCACTGGAGCAGCTTGAACTGGCAGCAGGGTGGCATGGGATTTAGGGACGTGCCCGGAGAGTCTCCTTGTCGCGCAGCTGCTCCTGGTCATGCAGCGTGTGGATGCGGAGGCTGCGCTTATGCTGTCTTCCCGAGGAGCGGCCAAGCCAGGAGCAGTCACAGGACCCCGAGGCTCTGGTGAAGAGGTTTGGGAGTTTTGTGTTCAGGGATGGCCATGGCTCCTCCCTACGCTGGAGTGGCTCGCTGGAAAGCAGCCGTGGCTGGGGCAGCTGTCCCGGGCAGTGGGCAAGCGCCTGCTTTGTGTGCAGTGGGTTTTGTCTGCGCTGGTGTCCCCTGTGAGATAGTTACCATGGTCCTGTTAGTCTGAAACGCAGCCCTTTCATTAGAAGGCAGCAAGGAGTGTTTCCAGATAGGCTGCGCCTGCCCTGGGTTCCCAGGGAGTCCCTGTGGCTTCAGAGCCGTACCCTTATAACTTTGGAAATTATTTGCTGCCCTGAAGAAGGCGGGGGGAGCTGACAGGCAGAAAGGGAGCAGCCAGCGCTGCTGGGTACTGGAAAAACTGCTGCTCTTTGCCTGTTCTCTTTCAGTTTTAGTGATGGTAGACGTTACCGGTCACAGGGCTGGCGTTCATGCAGGGTTTGGCGAGAGGAAAGGTTTGGCCTTTGATGATTAAAAGGGCACGTGAGCAGGCGGCAGCGCTCTGTTGAAACCTGTTGCTAACGGACTGCTGCAGCGGGGTTCCGGTCTCGGGGTGGTGGGTGGAAGCTCGATTTGTAGCCCACAGTTCGCTCCGTCCCGGGGTGCGAGGTGGCAGGAGTCCTCACCCTGTCCCTTTGTTTCAGAGAGGTTTGATCACCACTGCCCCTGGGTGGGCAACTGCGTGGGGAAGCGCAACTATCGCTACTTCTATGCCTTCATCCTGTCCCTCTCCTTCCTGACAGCCTTCATCTTCGCTTGCGTCGTCACCCACCTCACTCTGCGTAAGTACCGCGGGTACGAGCAGCGACGTGTGCCGTGCTCCTGGCCGCAAGTGACCTGGGGCAGCACCGGGTCGCTGCTCCTGTTGGACAGGGCGCGGGAAGGGGCTGGGTGGTTTACACCAGGCTTTTCAGCGCTGCTGGCCTGGATAAACGGGCCCTCGGACTGCAGGGCACCACAGATCCGCCCTGCGCCTCGCTGCAGAGAGACCTTGAGAGCTGGTGGCTGGGTTATCCCCTCCAGAGCAAACGGGTGGGGGGTGCGTCTGCTCTGGTGGCGAAGGTGACTTGTCCGTCAGCCCCGAACCTCCTGGAGCCGCGTCTGCGCGCTGACGCTTCTGCGAAGTTACAGGCTGGAGGTGTTTCTCAGGCAGCAGGGCAGATCCCTACGGGCCCCGGGGCGGTGGCTGCGTGCTCGGGAGCGAAGCGTTGGCTGGGGCTGCGAGGCTGCCTGATGTGGACGTCGATCCTTGTCCCCTTTCGCTTTGCAGGCTCTCAGAGAGACGGATTCCTCGCCACTCTGAAAACGACGCCTGCGAGATATCCTTCTGGTGCCATCGGCTGCTCAGATGGTCGAGCGCTGCTGCAGCAATGCTCATCGTGTAACAGAAGTGCAACGAGCTCTTTGTAGGGTCACCCACGTGTACTTCCCACAATATATTTTAGTCCCCTAGCTACCTGGTCGGGGCAGACAGGCATCTCCTTATCACAGAATCCCAGCCTGGCAGGGGTTGGCAGGGCCCTCTGTGGGTCACCCAGCCCAACCCCTGCCCAAGCAGGGTCACCCAGAGCAGG